GAAATCACAACGTCGTGCCATACATCTGTCTCATGTAATTCAGTGCATGGGTCTGAATCAACGTACAGACCAGCTTTTGTACTTTCACCAAACACTCACACCTGCATACAAATCAAAACAGAACACTTTGAACTTTTATTTTTGTTGTTGTTGTGACTTTCTTTCTACCTGTCATGTCTCTAGAAATTTTTTGGAAAATCAAATTCTTGCCAATTTTTTTTAAATCATGGGAATTAAATTATTAGACTTAGACAACTTAAGTTTTTGGGATTAGATTAAGCTTGAATGTAACTTTACGATGTCAAAAAATAATTACAATAGGGTAATTCTGAGAGTTGTGGTGGTTTATTGAAATACTCCCAAAAAACGCCAGTCTTCAACGCTTGCGACTGGTGAAAGGGCTCAGTATTCAGTGAGTTAAGAGTCCGCTTTTTTCCAGAAAAAGTTGGCAGGGTATATTTATTGTGTGGGTGTTATTTTTAAAACGCTTCTCAAAGATTGTATTTACCCAATGTCAGTGCAGCTTTACGATATCACTGCTCTAGCTGTATTAGTTGTTGGTAGTTGGGCTTTGTACGAATGTAGTCTATTGTTGTTGTCACTGTTATGATGATTTCTGTCTTCAGACTGGACGCCGTGTACACAATAAGTCCCACTTCTGGTGCCAAGCAAACAAGTGTTTCTTTCAGCAAGAATTCTCAGGTACGCAATAGGTCTATATCAGGGGCGGCAAACTCGATCACTGTTGGCGCTAAACTCAAATTACACTTGAGGTTCTGGGTCAAACTGGATAAACACTCATTGAGCAGCTGAAAACTGAACCTTTTTAAAGGATGAATGATGAGTCAAAAAAGACAAATGTTGGAAAGTTGGGTTTTTGTTTTTGTTTTTGTTTTTTTGAAGCGGTAAAAACAGTTGAAGATGGGGGTCATAGTGCAAGAGCAAGCTTTTTTTGGAGCCTCATGTACAGAGCATTGTGAAAGATTACAAGCAATGATTTCTAAAATATTGTGCCTGTTTTTATGTTTCTCTAGGTCTGCAGTCCATTACGTCTATCTTGAGTTATTTTGTAAAAAACGACCTTGTGCAGTGTGTCTGTGAGTGTGAATGAACATGAATCATATTTTACCTGAGTCATTTCATGCACTGTTGTTTTATCTGAAAAGTGTTTAATTCATATAAGCATGATCTTTGTTATTTTCAATCAATTTCATTGCGCTGTTCTTCCTCCTGAAATGATGTGTGAATGAACAGGACTCATATTTTTTCTACATTTTGTGACGTTGTTCTTCCTACTGAAATTATGTGTGAATGAACAGACGTCCAATTTTCTCCACTTTATGTATTTATATACGTTGTTCTTCCTGCTGCAGTGTCTGCTGGTGGGGGACAACGAGGGTCAAGTGACGGTGTACGAGCTGCGCTGTATGCCGGGTCCTGCCGAGGATCAGGTACAACAAGCTTACAACTTCTCCTCCTCACTGCTTCTCTCTTTCTCTTTCTCTCTGTCTCTCTCTCTGTCTCTCCCTCCCTCTCTCTCTCTCTCTTCCTTCCTCTCCCTCCCTCTTTCTCTCTCTCTGTTTCTTTCTCTCTGTCTGTCTCTCTATCCCTCCCCCTGTTGTCTACGTTCTAGTTGTATAGTAAGTCTTGTTAACCAAACCATCTTCCAAATTCAATAAAAATGTGCCGTTACATAGTAGGGGCCTACATGATGCACCTGTCTTGGCCTGTCATGCGCAGAAGCGACCAGCAGTAGTTTGTTTACTGCCTGTATTGTTAGTATAATATCTTAGATTAGGTAACTTCCATTTAGTTAATTGCCTAGGTATCTAGGCGCGGTAAAACACTTAGCCAAATGAACAAAAGTATTTATCATGTATGGAAGCAATTGTAATCAAAGTCCTTTGATGATGATCAGTAATAGTAGAATTTTAATTTATAATAAATAGCATTTGTATAGCGCAAATCCCCACTCAACAGCAAGCTCTATGCGCTTCACAATCTATACTATTACCCCAGCAGACCTGAGGGCATTCTGAAACAACCTCAACTTCCTGGAAAGCATACAGTGCAAGCGGCCAATTATAGGCGCTAAAACACTAACATACTAACAAGATCTTTCGCTGTCTATGGCCGGGTACCCATTCCCACCTGGGTGAAGTGAGGAAAATTCATGTATAGTGCCTTTCCCAAGGATACAACATCAGGCCTGCAGCTTGAACTCCCGTACCTGCAACCTCATGATTAGAGTCCTGTAGCCTAACCACTAGGCTAATTTAAGTGGGTCACAAAGAAGTCTATCTTTTGTGATTTCTTAACTAAAAGATAAGAACTGTAGTACAATCTGTGATGCATTGTGGTGAAATCAGGCGCTCGTCAAAATATAATGAAATCAAAGAAATCGGCATTTTTCGGCCAGTTTGGACATTTTTTTTCTTCCAATTTTTGTTTTTTGGCACAACACCTTGTATTTGGCCTTTCAGAAGCAGAAACACTTTTGTGTGTGGATTTTATGTGAAAACGTTGATTAAAGGCACGAAGAAAAATTGTAAATTTGTAGTTTTCAAGGACTCTTGAGCTATGGAAGTCACCAAACTTTGGCAGCCATTTTCTCGCTAATTTTATTTCTGAAACCAGGCGACCCCACCTCCTTCAATCACAAATATCTTGACTTCTATATAAGATAAATGGATATTATTGTCATTGAAAGCAAGGGAAATGATACAATAACTCCATGTGCCCCGAAATTGACGAGCGCCTGATTCCACTGTGTCGTGACACATACACACACACACACACACATATATATTATATAAAGTAAAGTTGTTCCCGCATCCGATCCGGACTTTGGGAATTGCCTTGTTAATGAGACAACTTCCTGGGCCTTCGGCATATTGTGGTAGGGTGGCCAGTTCCTTTCCACGCTGCCTTTACTTCCCCAACTCGAAGTCAGGTACCCATTACTACTGGGTGGGCAGGAGGGGGTGAAAAAAAATCAGTGTCCGAACCGAAGCTCGAACCCGGACTTTCTGCTTCCGAGACGAGTGCACATATATATATATATATATATATATATATATATATATATATATATATATATATATATATATATAAGTGGACTTGGGAGGCTTTGTGCACAAACTCCTCCCTTATTACCTAACCCACACCTTTGAAACTTTGCAGGCGTCCACGGCATCCATGTGGCTAGGACCTAACTTTAAAAAAAAAATCTACGCAAACTGCTTTCCCCGATTTTTCCAAAATGCTTTGTTTCATCCACACAGAGTTCTAATCTTGGGAAAGTCCGTCTTCTAAGACGCTATTGTAAACAAGTGAGGTTTCCGCTCAATAGTGGTGCGCTCTCATGATTCCACATCTTTGAAATTCTGGCGTGTACAACCACGAAAGCAGAATAGAGAATCAGTCTTTACATCTATTATATATTTGGCAACTTGGAAACACATGTGTCACTTTTCTCTCAAGATTTATTGCCCCATTCCAGTAGATTGTAAATAAAGTAGGCCAATGACTTTTAGTTGATGTTAAAGCACCGATCATTCCTTTCATTGAAAGGGGGCCCAGCTAATATTGTAGCCTATATATCAACATTTTTAGGTTGTGTTAGAGGCGGAACCTCCATATATTGAATGTCTGTCCCTTACAGGTGGGTGGTTGGCGGGCGTTCTGGTGTGGTTTGCTTCTTCTTTCCTATCAACATCTATCGTCTTTATCTCCCCTCCTTCTTTTTTATGTTTGTTACTCTCATGTAACACCTCTATTCTTCAGCACTTATATGACCTTATATTGTGTTGCAAGTGCCGTAAAACACTTACTAAAATTAATTGTCTCTATAGCGGACTGAGCCAAATGGGTTGAGATCCTTGAAAGCTCTAAACAACCAGAGTTAAAAAACTCCCAGTCTGAGATTCAAACCAGGGCGGTCTGCTCCAGAGTCCAGCATGGTACAACTAAGCTAATGGAGAGGTCCTGTGACTTTTTTTTTTTAAGTAGGGGGTTTTACGGTGCTCGCAACTGCATAAGATCATATTGGCGCCAAGGGGTGGGTGTCAACAGAGAAGTCTTTACAGGGAATCAGACTTACTCTGCTCACCTCTCTAGCTTCAATAGCACAAAGTCTGCTTAGACTATCAAGGCACCCCGGGAATAGCGAGTCACAAGAGTGTGACAAACAACATACAAAAGAAGTAGAGGAAAATGACAATAGTAAGGATTAGGAAAGAAAAAGCAGCAGTTCCTTGTTGTAGATCAGGCACAGTTATGAGCGTGACATGATGAATCCGCCCATTTACAATTCTTCTGTGCTTGAACTTGAACGAGAAATGTCCCCCCTTTGGGAATGGCCTAAAGACACTACAGTCAGTGGTACCGCCCCGGGGGGTGTCATGTGTGTGCTCCATCATAGTCCAGCATGGTACAACTATGCTAACGGAGAGGTCGTGTGTCCTGAGGTCAATCTGTCCCCGTGCAAAAAAATTATGAAATTATGCAAACAGCCCAAAAATGTGAAATTATGTGAATTTGTTAATTTTAACAAAGAATGGTAAAGGAAAATAGTGAGAAAGTATGCAAAAAATGATAAAATTTTGCTAAATTATGCAGGGTGCATAAAAATAAAACCACGGGGACAGGTCAATGAATGAAAACTGAACAATGAAAACTCAGGAGCATTCCCCAACATTGGCAGCAGATATTGTAAAGTTTTTGTACCACCTTTATCCTCATGCGTGGGATATTTTCGGTTTAGCACAAATTGTCTTATTTTTCACGGCTGCTAACTAGACTAGAATTCTCCTCTCTACTTTTTTTTATTTATGGTTCGTCTTCTCCTATTCTTCATCTCCTTATTCTTCTTTGCTTCTACTCATGTGTTAGCCAGCTGAATGTTACATATATCGAAGCTTCTTCTTCTTTGTTCTCAAATTTATAGAAGCTATTCTCTTTATCATACTTTATGTTCACATTTCCCAACCTTCTCACCCAGGAGCATGCTCTGAACAGCGTGATCGAGTCCTCGCTGGCAAGTCAACTTCCTGGTCCGACCGACGGAGCTGGCGACGGGACACAAGAAGAAATGGACGAGCCCGAGATGTGAACGTCTGAAGTGTGAACGTAGAATGTTTGTCGCTGCGGGAGATGTGGTCGAGACAGAGCCACTGGCGCTACGTCACCGACAGTTGAAAGTTTGGACTAACTATGATTGTGATACTTTGTGTAGAGGTGTCCTCACAGTTGCTTGGGACAGGGTGAAACTAGTCTCTACAGAGAACTACTTTAGAAGGCAGTAACAGAAACCACTTGTCTCGAGTTCGTAATTACTCAGGATAGCGAGTTTGTTATTGGACGACAGATGACTACTTTAGAAGGAGGGTTACATTCGACTAAAATTCCTAATTCTCCAGATTGTGAGTTTCCGTTACCTATGTCTCCCTTGTGGACGCACGTAAGATTGGATAAGTGACTTCAGTACATTTTTCAGAAGGAAAAAACACATTTAAAAGGACAGCTTAAAGTTATTTGATTTTCATTTGTTTATATTTGATTTTAATCAACATATGAAACATGCTCTGCAGAATACATTTCCCAAACAAAAAGCAAAAATAGAAAATTTTTTAGTGATCCGATCTTATCGGGAGGTTGACGATATATCATAACAACGACGGAAAGAGCTAGTGAAATTGGTCTGTTCAAGTCATAGGCTTGAGATGGAAGTAGTCTCAGCTGAGAAAAAGTATATGGGGGAGCAGCCGTCTTCCTATTTCGTGTCCTACAAGACACTCTTCTTAAGATATTTTGATATGTTTTGAAATAAAGTAAACATGTGTTTGACCCATTTGATAATACTAAGTATTACTGTTTCAGAATGAGTGATGGGAGGAAGGCTCAAATTTGAAGTGTGAATTGTCAAAAGTAGAATCTTTTGAGAGAATGTGTGCTTTTTAATTTTATGTAGACAATATCTACCTTCAGATGATGGAGAGAGAGAGACAGAGCAGCAAAAGAAGAGCTAAAATTATCTTAATTAAAATTACGATGTACTAGTATGCAAACTCTGAGTCATAATGTTGCGGTTTGGAATTATTTTCATATAATTGTATAGATCTGATATTTTCTCCACATGTATTTTTATTGTGCTTGAGACAACTCCACTTCCTTTTCATTGACAGGACATGATATATTATTACTGTTATTAGTTGTAACTTGTAGGGAACCAGAGTTGAACATGTAGACACTGTGCCCTCTCTGAGTTCTCTTGTGACTGTTCAACATTACGTACAATTGATGGGCTGAAATAATAATGGCTTTCCTAGGAGCAGGAAACGACAGACATGTAACAACACGTGTCTGGTTGGGAGAGAAGCACAAAGCTTTTCATCCAGTCGGACTTTGGGGAGAAACCTTATTTTAACCAAAGATCGTACATAACAAGATAGTTCACTCAGCCCAAAAAAAAGTCTGCGGAAGTCCCGCGCATTGCTTCAGATGGTGCTGCAGTCTTTGTTTTGAAACTCTCTTTCGTTTCTTCACAAGAAAAATAGGAATAGCTCAGTTTGTTAGTTTCACTTTTATTGTTTTTCACACAAGTAGGGTAACTCTGATCGCAAAGTCAGTGCTTTTTCGAAGAGGGCGCGACTGAATTTTTAGGACACTTTTAATTGGCTCAAAAGAGAGGAGTGAACTATTTTGTTATACACGATCTTTGAACTGTTCATTGTGTTCAAAACACATTTCAAGTAAGCAAATTGTCAATTTGACCCCTAGATCTCACAAGCTGGGAACCTATTTCTGGCTTTGCACAGCGAGTTTAGTTTAAATTCTGTAAGTGTAAGTAATCACATTTTAAGCACAACAAAAATTGGTTTCAAGCTGCAGCATTTATTATCGACCAAAATTTTCAGGAAAGAATGAAGATGTGGTATATGAAGATGTGGTATATGAAGATGTGGTATATGAAGATGAAGTTGCAGTGCAGGCAAGCAGGTATTTCTGATTTATGAGGAAAAACAAGAAAAAATAATACTGCAGCATCCCCCGAGGAGATGTGCTGACTTCTAAGAGTTTAAGCATCTTTTACTTTGTCTTTCAGAAAACAATTACTGCTCTATACTGTCCATGGCACTTGCTTTTAACATAGGCCTATATGTGAGGCAGCACGATGAAATCAGACGCTCGTCAAAATAACGAAATCGGAAAAACAGGCGTCTTTCCGACAATTTGGAAACTTTTATCGAATTTTAATTTTTTGACTAACCTCTTTTAGGTCCAAATAAAAACACATTTCCATGTGAATTTTACTGAAACACATTGATTAAAGGCACAAAATATGTCATTTGTCTGTTTTCAAAGACTCTTTAGCTATTGGATTTACCAAACTTTGGCGGCCATTTTCTCGGCAATTTCACCACTGAAACAAGACGACCTCACAACCTTCAATCGCAAATATTTCGAGTTCTATTCAAGATAGATGGATTTTTTAAAAATTGGAAGCAAGGCAAATAACTCCTTATGCCCAAAAATTGACGAGTGCCTGATTCCACCACGTCGTAGAACATATTTCTATTTTAGCACAAAATAAGTTACAAGACACCCAGATGCGTGGTTTGGAACATGAGGGTGTAGACTTTCCTGGATTTCAGCTCAGAACTTCTACTCTTTCTGTTACTTTCCTAAAATGATTTGTGAGGCATCGTGGTGAAATCAAGCGCTCGTCAAAATAGTGAAATCCGAGAAATCGGCATTTTCAACCAGTTTGGAAATTTTTTCAGAATTTTTGGTTTTTGGCTCAACACCTAGTATGTCCATTCAAAAACACCTTAATATTTGTATATTATGGATAAACCTTGGTTAAAGGCAGAAAAATATAAATTTGCAGTTTCCAAGGACTCTTAAAAGCTATGGAAGTCACCAAACTTTGGCGGCCATTTTCTCGCTAATTTTACTTCTGAAACCGGGTGACCCCTCCTCCTTCAATCACAAATATCTTGGCTTCTTTCTATTCACCATAAATGAATATTTTTTCATCGAAAGCAAGGGAAATGAAAAACTTTTAAGATGATACCAATAACTCCATATAAATTAACAAGCGCCTGATTCCACCGTGTCACGACACATTTAGTTCCCTCCTTCTCCACATATTATTTGTGAAAGTCAATTATAACAGTGCAAAAGTGCTCAGCCTTTACAACTAAATAACATTCCAATTATACTGAATGATTGAATGATTAAATCCACATAAAGCTGCATGATACAGCTTCAGTGAGATGTCATGTATTATGTAATTTGCTGTTTCACCCGTTGTATTTCATGTTTTTTCCTAGCCTTTAAATTGATTGCAATATAAAGCGCCAAAAACAAGGAATAAATGATATTGCCTTTAAGATGTGTCGTCTCTTACTTCTTAACAGCTACATATTCTGCTTTGTGTGAACAGCAGAGTTTTTGTGTATTGTTATTGAGCGAGTATCAACTCATGCCCCTCCCCCCAACCACTGAATAGTGTGGGTTTTCCACTTGTTTGAGGACACAGCTTGGAGCCTCAACAGTTTTACAATCCCTTCGGTTTTTTTCTGTCTGTCCATCTTGTTTTTCCAGCACATTGGAAGACTGTTAATGAGTTTCTCTTTTATGTTTCCATTCTTCATAAACCACTACAGTAGTCTCCACCTAAACGCACGGTGCTTGGGAGGGCTCCTTAGCGTGTGTTTATACGGAGCGTGCGTTTACATGAACCTTAGCAAGGGGAGGAAGGGACGCAGTCATCTCAATTCGTTATTACTCAAGTGATCTCCATTGGAGGAGGGGGTCATTTGGCAGGTAATAAATGTGACGACACCAGACTGTTTTGTGAAGGATTCCCCAACAGGGGTTAAGAATACAACGGCGTTGAATGGGGTGGGGGGGGGGGGGGAGAAAGACAAACTCAATGTAATGAATCTGCACTATAAACGTCGGGAACAGATAGATTCTCTAGCCTAAGAGGAAACTGTTGGAGATAGTCATAGATCTAGTCATAGAGACGACAGACCAGCCACGTGGTTTTCCAAGCGACCACCCCCGACCGTAAATTCATGCAGAATCATCCTCGAGAAACATTTTCTCTTGTGATTTGTTGAACGAGTACGTTATAAGTTCTTCAAGCGCAGTTTATTAGGCTTATTTGGCTAATCTTTAATCCTATAGAGGCCTGTCTAGTGTTTTACGGCATTTACGCATGTGGCGCATCAGGCCTAGATCCAACTAAACATTACACGCAGTCACTCAAACTCAAACACCAGTCAGAAACCTTCTATCAAAGATACATTTCCAATGACCAATCAAAAAACATTTCAGTCCCCCCCCCCCCCCCCCCATTTAACCGACCAGCCCTAGACCGAGACCTGTGCGTCAGTGGAAAGTATGGTGTGTAAACGCTGTCCATCACCCTCCTTTGTACGGCGTGAGAGGCACTCTCACCAAATATCCGGTTTTCTAGTAAACTCTAGGCTTGTCTTATGCAGGCTGTGCAGGTTGTAGTGGAAATTTCCCCTTGCCAAGCTTAACTTGTCGGCGTACTTCGCGGATCGGAGCGTGCGTTTAGAGGGAGTGACCGTGCGTTTGTGCGCCTAAATTATATAGTAAAAAACCCGTCAGATGACGAAAGCGTTCGTTTGAGCGGAGCGTGCTTTTGTATGGCGTGCGTTTAGGCGGAGACTACTGTATAATGGAAAAAAAATCACAGACTGACTGACAGCAAGTACCCATACTGAAAGGACAAGATTAGGAATACACATTCACTAAACAGCAGTTTTAGTTTTTAGTTTTAAAAAGAGTTTTACGGCACTTGCAACACAATAAGGTCATATAAATGCCGAAGATTGAGGTGTTACAAGAGAGTAACAAACACAACAAAGAAGGAGGGGAGATAGAGACAATAGATTTTTTATAGGAAAGAAGGAGCTAACCACACCAGAGCACCCGCCAACCACCCACTCTAAACACCAGAATGAGAGGAAATGACGTAGGAAACAAAACAAAATTCAGACCTACCAAAGAATCAAACCTAGTTGGTAGCCAACTGCACCACATCAGCCAATGAGGTTTATGGACAAGAGACAACGAACAAAAACATGAACTCAGTGGGCACGGTTCCATTCCAAAATGAGTTCTAAACAAAAAGAACACCCTCACAAAACATTTCCCAAGAAAAAAACAAACAAAACAGTAGCATTGTTTTTCTAAAATTTATTCGCTTTCTCTCTTTGAGAAGCAGACAAAATCCATCATTCTATTTAGTTTTATGTACACACTATTGGCTACTCAAGGCAGCAACACATAACACTGGTACTAGCCTCTATACGGACCCACAGACATCACTTTCTGATCACTTCTTGACTCCATCTTCTAATCTGCCCGTCTGCCAGTTGTACGAAAACCCGGGCAAGGCTGGCTTTTTGGGGCCGGACGATTCCCTGGGGATGATGCATGAACACAGACAGCACGTGAGAAACTCTCGAGAAATGTTCAGAACAAAGCTATACTCTGACCAACCCTACTGAAATAAAGCTCTAGACAAGATCACATACTAAAGCTCTAGACAAGATCACAGAATAAAGCTCTAGACAAGTTCACAGAATAAAGCTCTAGACAAGATCACAGAATAAAGCTCTAGACAAGCTCACAGAATAAAGCTCTAGACAAAATCACAGAATAAAGCTTAGGAGAAGCCTGTAGAACAAAACTGTAGAAAAACCAACTGAAATAAAGCTCTAGACAAGCTCACAGAATAAAGCTTAGGAGAAGCCTGTAGAACAAAACTGTAGAAAAATCTACTGTAGAAAGCTCTGAAGAAGCCTTAAGCATACGTTTTAGAGAAACCTACAGAATACAGCTCGATAGAAGCCAATGATATAGGGCACTAGAGAAACCTACAAAATACAGCTCAATAGAAGCTTATGATATAGGGCACTAGAGAAACCTACAGAATACAGCTCGATAGAAGCCTATGATATAGGGCACTAGAGAAACCTACAGAATACAGCTCGATAGAAGCCTATGATATAGGGCACCAGAGAAGCCTACTGAAGAGTTTCTTCCACTAATAGCCCCACCAAACCAATGAGCACCCCTCCTATGCATATAACAACGATTCAACAAACTCTTTTTCTCAGCTAGCCGTACGATCAGGGCAGCAGGCATTCGTCAAACTAACTTCACACCTTGATATGACAGGTTTACGTCTTACATCATCATCAATGCCTTTCACCCCTGTCTTTGCCACATACAAGCTCCTTCCATTTATCTCTGTCCTGAGCTATCCTTCCAAGCTCGTTCCAAGTGAGCTTCATTTCTCTCATGTCCCTTTCCACGCATCTCCTCCATGTTTCTCGTGGCCTACCCCTGCCTCGTGCTCCTTGTGGGTTCCACTGCAGTGACTGTCTTGTGATGTTTCCGCTGGGCTTTCTTAAGGTGTGTCCCATCCATTGCCACTTTCTTAGTCCTATTTCTACTTCTATATCCTTTTGTCCTGTCCTTTCCCACAGCTCTTCATTTCTTATTCTATCCTGCCACTTAATTCTTAGAATACTCCCCATACATCTGTTGATGAAAGTCTGGACTTTATTCAGTACTGTCTTCGTTGTCTTCCAAGTTTCGCAGCCGTAGAGGAGCACAGACTTAAGTTAAAGAGTCGAATCTTGGTGCGCAGTGAGATGTTGCTTGCTTTCCAGACTTTTGATAATTGCTTGAAGGCTGACCTTGCCTTGGCAGTTCTTGCTTTAACATCTGCCTCGGTTCCACCTTTACCATCGATGACACTTTCAAGGTAGGTAAAGGAGTCCACTTCTTCCAGGGGAGTGTCTTACTTAAAGTCATAGACAAAGCTATTAAGAAAGTAATCTGGGTTGAAAAACAAAAATATAAAAAGAAACTGGAAGATCTGTTTCGTTCAAATAACTCTCAAGAAACATGGACTGGGCTTAAGACCATAGTGGGCTACAGAAATAAACCAACAAACATATGTGTTGACAACGAAGAGTATGCAAATTAACTAAATGCCCTTTTCTCCCGTTTTGACAAAGGCAGTCTGTGTGACTTGCCATGTGTGAACACCGATACAAATGAAAATAATGCTGTTGTTGTTGAAGAACGTGAGGTTAGATGTGTGTTTGGACGTGTGAATGTGAGAAAGGCGTGTGGTCCAGACGGTGCGCAACCCAAAATTCTGAAAATGTGTTCAACACAACTTAGTTTTATTTACACCTATATTATCAACCAGTCGTTGTTGACACATGCTATTCCCATTATTTGGAAATGTTCTGAAATCGTCCCCCTTCCAAAGAAAGAAAAAATTACTGAAATGAATGACCTGAGGCCAATAGCCTTAACATCGGTAGTTACAAAATGTCTAGAAAAAATTGTGCTAAAAAGACTACGAACGTACATAGAACCCCATCCAGGACCCTCTACAATTTGCATATCGTCACGTGAGAAGTGTGGAAGACGCCATTTTACTATTTCTTGACAACATATATAGACACTTCGACAAGCCTAAAACATACTGTAGGATCCTGTTTGTTGATTTTTCGTCAGCCTTTAATACTATCCTTTTAAAGAAATTAGAAAACACAGGTGTTAACGACAATTTAATATCATGGATAGGCAATTTTCTTACCAACCGAACCCAGTATGTAAAATTAAAACATTCTTCATCGACATACATTTCAACAAATACAGGGGCCCTCAAGGATGTGTTTTGTCACCAGTTTTATTCACACTATACACGAACGATTGCCACATAAACAACAGTAACATCAAGATGATAAAATTTGCACATGATTCAACTATAATTGGGCTAATTCAGGCTGACCATAACGAAACCGCTTACCGGAAATTTGTACTTAACTTTTCTGAATGGTGTGAAAACCATAAGCTGCTTTTAAATGTGAAAAAAACAAAAGAACTTGTCGTTGATTTTTGAATAAAGAAACTGCCTCTGCAGCCACTCGAAATTAAATGTGAAAACATCGAGCAAGTGTCAGACTATAAGTATTTGGGTGTTACAATAGACAACAAACTCAACTGGCGTGTCCACACTTCTCTCCTGCATAAAAAAGTGAACAAAGGACTATTTTTTCTAAGGAAGCTAAAGTATCTTAAAGTTGATAAAACATTGATGTCCATGTTCTACCATTCAACCATAGAAAGTATGATCAAATTTTGTACAACAGCATGGGCCGGGAACACAAGACAACAAGATAAAGAAAAATTAAATCGACTAATAAGGAAAGCATGTAAAATTTCAACATCTTCATTCCCCTACTTGGATGAATTGTACATAACAGCTTGCACAAAGAAAATTAATTCCATCTTTTTAGACAACAAACATCCCTTGTTCCCTCAAATAAAAACATCAGTCAGAAGTAAAAGACCTAGGCTTCTGATCTGTAACAAAGAAAGATACAGAAGGTCATTTTTACCATCATCTATCAAAATGCTTCCATCTTAACCATCTTGTATAAGTATACTTACGACCTTAGAGCATGCATCAAAATAACATTGAGTGTGTATCTAGCTTACGATTATTATTGTTTATATTGCTGCTCATTTATATTATGCATGTGATTGTAAGCCTACTTGTGTGTACATGTGTGTGCACATGTGTGCGTGTGTGTGTGTGTTTGTGTGTGTGTGTGTACACGTGGTGGAACACCAAACCAATGTGCCAGGATCTGGACAATAAAGATGTATCTTATCTTATCTTCCACTGTCACAGCAGGGCTTGAAACTTTTCCTAGCTTCACTACTTTTCACTTGCCTGGATGTATACGTAGGCCAACACTCCTTGATAGGCTGTTGAGTTCCTTGGTCTTTTCTTGCATCTGAGCATGTGTGTGAGAGAGCAGTGCAAGGTCATCGGTGAAGTCTAAGTCATCCAGCTGCTGCCAAGGGATCCATTGTATTCCATTACGTTTGCCTCTGGTGGCTTCTTTCATGACCCAGTCAATTGCCAGTATGAAGAGGAAAGGAGAGAGCAAGCATCCTTGTCGCACTCCTGTCTGTACCTGGAATGGTTCTGAGAGTTGTCCTTCGTGGAAGACTTGGCAGTTTGTTCCATCATAGGTGGCCTTCACAAGCTTGACGATTTTCTCAGGTATTCCAAAATTCCGCATGAGTTTCCACAGAGTTTCCCTGTCCACGCTGTCAAACGCCTTTTCATAGTCAATGCAGTTGACAACGAATGGTGAGTTCCATTCAAGCGATTGCTCAACAATGATACGCAGAGTAGCGATCTGGTCCACACATGATCGGTTCTTGCGGAATCCTGCCTGGTTTCCTCAAAGCTTCTAATCTGTTGCCAGCTTGATTCTCTCCAGGAGTATCCTGTTGAAGACTTTCCCAGGTATGGACAGGAGTGTAATGCCTCTGTAGTTGTTACAATTGCTACGTCTTACAAGGGTTCCCATTAACTCTTTAAATCTGGTGTTTTTTCCACCGTTTCCCGGAGTTTTTTCCAGTCATCTAAACCTGGTGCACTATGTCTCATTATAACCCCAAAAGTTTGCCTCCAACTTCTAAACGGCGGAAACAAATGCTTAGTCATTACTAAAAACTTGCTTCGAGAATAGTTCCGAAAAACCATCAAAAACTAGCTCTAAATAAAATGAAAATGTTGTCACTAGTATCGGACGCTGCCAGCGTCCGATGGGGAACAGGGTTATTACCGCCGGACGTTCCCAGCATCCGAAGGGGTTTAAAGAGTTAAAGCAAGTTGGACTGTACTTCCTTTTGGTACTAATATTATATTGACCTGGCATAAACTACAAGAAACAGATCAGGAAACAAACTGTCAGACAGTCAAGACCCATTACAAGCAGAGATGATAAATGAATGACGATCCACACAGCAGCCAATGGCCAAAAAAAAAAAAAAAAAGATAAATCGCACAATGAGTTCAAAAAACAGTATACAGGAGGAGCAGTGACATATATATTTATATAAATTTATTATACCATTCCTACGCTATAATAAACCAATCAGTACAAATACAGTCATGTAATGTAGTGCTGGAAAAGAGCAAGACAAGGTAGACAGAGGAAAAAGAGGAAAATTAACAAGGTAGGACCTACTGCTGGCACCCTCCAGCCACCCTTCCAAAGAGCATCATCGTTATGAGTGTCCCAACTGTCAACAGAGAATCTAAAGACAGATCAGCCTGATGAACCATCAACGAATTCATTCACCTTCCCATCTTTGTTTAACTCGGTATGACACCAGAGCGACAAATGAACAAACAAACAAGTACACTTGAAGCCTCCTCACCCTGCTTCCAAAAGGTTCTTGGAGGCGTCAAAGACAGCAGCAGGTGGCGCCACCTCCCGCCGGCCGTCACGAGTCAGGTAGTAGTTGTTACTCAGCTTGTGGGAGACGCCAGGAGGGAGGTTGGGAAGAGGCTGTGTCCTGGCAATACAAACAATCGTTTCTAGTGAAACAAACTGTTGCTATTTTCAGAAAACAAGAAACAAGAATTCAATAGCAATTTAGAAGCAAGCTACTGCTATTTGAGTGAATAATCATTTTTAAAATACTTATACACAACAACACCAGATATGTACAAAACTAGAAATAGTGTTAAAAGTGGATATTTTTGCAGTAAACACTTAAAGAAAGTGAAGTCAATACAAAGTTATAACATAGCTCTTCCAGCCCCAGCCATTTTTATGCACTCCCTAACCCCAGTCCCAGCCAATACAGCAGTAAGTCCAGAAAAAGAGGAATGCATTCTAAAAAGTGATGTAGTATCTTTGTACTAAGGTTTACATAATAACATATAACAATTTCTAAAGGTAAATGAACAAATGTTATGAAAATTAAAATTTAATTAGGTTTACTAATTTGGAAAAATGCGCAAATTCGGTACCCCCCAAAACTGAGAATATATGTTCATGGGGCAGTGGGAGGTACAAGCGCTGCTGAAAATATACGCACATGGGGCTGGAAGGGTTAAAAGTATTTCAGCGGACCTATTCACAGCACACATTAAAATAAGAATCAATAATCAAGGGAACAAAAATTAAGCTAAAGAGTGGAAGTGTACATCACGTTTCTCCTCCAAGAGATGGTTCCAAAGACTACACAACAATCGAGTAAGCCAGCCATTATGCTCATTCAAAACTATTAAAGATATAACTAATCACAAATGTTTATGTTGTACACCGTTATTTCAAATCCTCCATTGTACTCTTATCAAACATCACAACTTTCTTCATTTTCTCAAGTGTTACATGAAAAATTCTCTAAACTTTAATAAAGGATTCTAAAGAAGTTTGGTAAAGTACTCAACCACATGAAAAATCAGGAAATGAAATACTCTCTCATATTTCAGTCGTTCTAAACAACGGTACAACAAAACAATAATAATAAACACAAACCTCTTTCCAATGAAACCTTCATACCGGTGAGTAGTTTTTAACTCATCGTGCTGAAAAAAACAACAAAAAAAACTTCATGAAAATGTGAGTGAACCTGAAGCATCTCGTACCATTTTCATTTCAAGCATTTCAAATCTTCTGACATTTATCCGAAAAAAAATCTTAAATCATTTCAAAGTATCAACAGTGTAGCACACGTCACATACTAAAATTGGTGGGACACTAAAATTTTTTAGTTATACAGTAGTCTCCACCTAAGATCCAAACCGCTTACGATCCCACTGTTCTAAGAAAATAAAATATTTACTGTACAAAAGGCTCTGAAGGTCCACATTCGACTAAGATCCCGCATTTCAGATCATAATTTATGGAACAAAAACTCAGGGCGGGGACAGACGATCAACTAAGAGTGGAAAGTTAAGGCAAGGTCATTGAACCGCCCGCCGGGTCAAAGATCAGCCACTCTCGTGAATGTGAATGTGATCACAAGCATTGTAAAACTCGTTGAAACGGTACAATGTTTGCCCCACACAGGATCACACCGAGGTGTAAACTGATATATATATATATTATATATATATATACTAATTGCAATGTTTCTTCTACTGCTTAAAACCAAAACAAAATTGTTTGTGCTAGTAGTTCTACTAGAGCCGATAAAGGTACAACTGCAGATCTCCACACTCCGAAGGTGTGTCAACCAGTAAAAAAAAGCAACACAATAATGACAGAACAAGCAAACAACGATCACGATGGATTTAAGCCAGAAAAAGCAAATGATGAATCAGATATTGATGAAAACGTAGCAGGAGTTGTAGGCGCAATTCACATTAATCCGATGTAGAATTATAGAACCGAAATGGCTATTCGGACTCGAGTCTGAACAGCCTGCCGTGGCTATTCGGACTCAAACTCCAATGCGCGTTATTTTTAATGACTGACTTTTCTTCCCGTTGGAAGGGTTTTAACTTTTCTCTTCTTAATTTCTAACTGGACTTCCAATTGATCAATGATTGTGTCTTTCTCATCAAATAAAGCGAATTAGACTTATCTCCTTTGTTGTTCTGAAACTTTCATTTTCAATTTTTTTTCACTGCTTTGAGCTCAGATTGCCGTTTCCCTGTTTGCCTTTGTAGTGTAGTATTTCACATTTTGCAACTGTTGTTCACTATTGACGTCACTAGATCTTATATTTCTTAATTTGTATAGAAAATTTTGGTCATAACGTAGAACACGAGGAAGGCCAAGGTCATAATAATATGGAAGAGGCTAGCTGTACTTAATGACAGGTAGACTGCTAGGCTAGCTGTACTTAAGTACGGCAAGACAGCTGGGCTAGCCATACTTATATTATGGCTAGACTGACCCAAAAAAATAGGTCTACTGAATTGTAAATAGATTTTTAGTTTGCAGTACCTAAAGTATTTGTATTTGAGACATACCAGGTGCCTTACAGACAGTGCATGTATTTCAAACCTGAATAATTACATAATGAGACTTGTTTTCTTATGTTAATAGGTCCTAAGATAAGTACGGCTAGACTGGCAGACTAGCCATACTTCAAAATAATGATGGCTGAATAATAAAAGAAATTTTTAGTTTGCAATGCCTAAAGTCTTTGTATTTCAGACCCAAAGGTGCCTTACAGACTTGCATGTATTTTAAACCTAAATAATTACTAGATCTAGATCTAATGAGACCTGTGTACCCAACAGGTTTGAATCAGCAAGGCCAAACCTAGATCTAAGTACGGCAAGATTGGCAGTCTAGCCGTACGGCTAGCCACTTCGTAATAATATCGCCTGTCCGCTTCACATCAGGTACACGCATTGGAGTTGAAAGTGCCTATTTGCAACGCCGCGTTGCTAAATAAAACGGCGTGTATTAATATGAAGCTTAATCTACCATTTGTTGTTGGAAGTTCTGATGGCCGAAGAGACAGTGCGTCTCCGTTTGAAGCCAATCCATCATTTTCTGAGCGTGGTTTCGATCCCGGCCCGGTCATATGAATTTTTTTTTTTTTTGGTCCTCTTCTCGACTGACAAACAAATTCTTCCCATAATTATAACTTGTTGCTCTGTAGTTTTTTTATGTAGTGGTGAAGCATGCACAAATTGGTTTTGTTCCCAAGAGGACCTCTATACAAAGTAGGGCCCAGGCCTTAGTATATAGCCTATACTTTTCCTTTTTTTCCATAGTGGCTTTCCTTAGTCTGGGAGTCTAATCATTTTTTTTATATTTTAAGCTCAGGAGAAGAAAAAAAAAACCTTTCCAGGACCGGGATTCGATGCCACGCTTGGAAGCACTGTTAGACTTAGAGAACGTAGACACCTTCTGTATACTTTCTCTAGGCCTAACTTAATAATAATAATAATGGATTGCATTTATATAGCGCATATCCACTTATGCAATGCTCTATGCGCTTAACATGATAAATATAATGGATTTACAAATCAATTTTAAAGGCACATAGTGTTACATACTCATGCAAACACATATTCACTCATGCACGCACCACACACACATAGATACTCACATACACACATACGTACATATGCACATATTACGCACATACAAACTCACAACGATCTACAGCTTGGATGCATTCTGTCTAATCGAAATATGATGAAAATGAAATGATTTTAGTTTCTTCTTAAAAATTTCTAGATTTTCTGCTTCTCTGATAGTTTTTGGAAGCCTATTCCAAACAAGTGGGGCAAAATATGAAAAAGAGCGTTGGCCATATGATTTGTAATTTATTTTAGGCTTAACAAGGGTTGTTTTGTCACTTGATGATCTGAGCGTTCTAGGAGGCACATAGGGTGTTAAAAGCTGTTTTAGATAGTCCGGTGATAAATCATTTAAGCACTTGTAGCAAGTTAAACATATTTTATATATGATACACGCTCTTTCACTGGGAGCCAGTGTAATGCTTTTAAAATAGGAGTCACATGATCATGCTTTAGTTTTTTAGTAATTATTTTGGCAGCAATATTTTGTACTCTAACTTAAAGTTAAAGATAATATTTTTAGGTAAATCTATTGTATGACGACACTGAGGACATGAAATACTGCTTATACCGAGTTGCACCGTCTTGTTATTGTTATCCAAGCGTCATTCGACTTACTTGCTCAAACTAAACGATTTTATGATGAGAGATAAACAAGACTACTTCTAGATCTAGTCTACTTTTGAGCAAACAAAGTCAGAAACAATCGTTAGATCTAATCTAGATCTAGATCTAATATCTACCCAATATTAATTATCGGAATAAGACAAAGTCATAAAAAAGGAGTCAAATCCTAGGAGGTTTATCAAGAAACTGAGAAAGTTTCCACAATTCAGGCAGAACTACAATATTATTATGTAGAAATGATGGCTACTAGATCTAGATTCTAGTACTGGTGTTTCAATTAGCATGGGAGCTATTCAGAACGCGGCGTTTCAAATAGCACGGGAGCTATTCAGAATGCGGCGTTGCAAATAACGCCTGCCATTGGAGTTTGAGTCCGAATAGCCATGGGAGGATATTCAGACTAGAGTCCGAATAGCCGCTGCCTTATATAGAATCTAACTACTAGAGCCAAACAGCAAGGCAAGGAATGAAAGTGACGGATTAGACAACCTGACTATCTTTGCAAAGTTATATTTTTCTGAAACTACAACACATTCATTTCTTTCTAATTTTTAAAGTTTTACTCATGTTGTAGTTGTAGGCCCAAAATCTAAATTCTATTCTAAAACATAATGTTTTTGGCATTTTTGGCCACTGATTTTTAGATTCTAGTTTGGCAAAATTGTATCAAATAATAAAAATAATTTTTTTCAAGTATTTTTAACCTATTGGCGGTGCTCGACCTATGGACTTCAATCATTGAGGCAGATGGCTGTGTCGACACCATTTATCTAGACTTTGCTAAGGCCTTCGATACAGTCCCACACGAACGTTTGTTGACAAAACTGGAAGGCTATGGAATTGAGGGACAGATTCACGCTTGGATAAGGGACTTCTTGACTGATAGGCAACAGTGTGTGGTTGTAACTGGAGAGGAGTCATCCTGGGAGCATGTGCAGTCTGGAATCCCTCAGGGAAGTGTGCTAGGTCCGTTTCTTTGTATGCTTTGTCAATGATCCCCCTGAAAATATCCTCTCTGCTACTTTTCTGTTCGCGGATGATACGAAGAATTTTGCTGAAGTGCCCGACTATTCGGACAACCTCCAGGATGACTTAAACAGATTTCAGCTCTGGTCTGATGCGTGGCAATTAAGGTTTAATGCAGAAAAATGCAAGGTTATGCACATTGGGAAAAATAGAAACCCCTGTGAGTACAAGATGACATCCAAAGGTGAACGCATCACTCTAGAATCTGTGTCACTAGAAAAAGACCTATGTGAGCCATTGCCAAAACGTGGGGAAAAACACACACATCTCACAATAGTGTGCATAAAATGTGATGCATTAGTATTTATTCCTCCAAAACTTATACACACGTCAAATATAGGATGTAGAACCTGCATTAGCAGTTTCAGACCCCTTGTCAGCTTTACAATCTTGAGTTTGTAAATTTTGTGCCAAAAATGTTCGTTTTTTAGTGATTCCTGGAGTGTCATTTTGAGCACACCAATGCAAACTTCCAAGAATGTAAAAAATGTAGTATTTTTCGGTGGGTTTTTTTTTACGTGTGCTTTGATCCTATGTTATTTGTCATTGAGAAAGGTTAACTTGCTCAAGAAATCGGTTCATTTGTTTGCAAATAGACGAACAATTCGGATTACTTGTGCGTCTGTCATGTCGTCACGGACTAGGTGTTTCAGAAAACACCATTATTTTTCAGTAGAATCACCGTAGCTGGTTAAATCTCTTTGCCTATCGTCGTTTATCCAGTACTTCAAAAGCCGCGATGCACGAAAGGAACATCGGGTTCCTAGATCTACGATTTCGGTCGGCTGTTTAACATTCGCCGTTATTGTCGTCAACTTGCGACGTGCCGGAAGTCCGAATTTCGCCCACTTTTGTTTTGAACTAGTCATCAAAAGTGCCCGGATATAATTGTTTTCTTGAGTGACTTCCCCTTACCCGCGTCCCCAGAACAACGGAAGCAACGGGGGAAACAGAAAAACGAAAGTAGTCATTGCCTTCAGCGTCCGGTGACGCATAAGAATTTTGAGTTGAATGTGACGTACTGGGCTGTTTTGCGTTGTTTTTAGGCTACTCTGTTGAATATTTTAGTGAAATTGCGGTGTTTACACTGGATTCCTGGAACAAGAGTGTGATGTGTGAACAAACTTCGAGAGATGGATCATTTCTGTGGTTATAGATTTAGCTTTTGTGCTCAGTGATGACGTTTGGGGTGTCGTCATGCAGCCGTACAAGACTGACTAACGTACAAGAAATTACATTGTCCTAAGAGCAAACATTTTAAAAGTAATGTGTGCTCTCTTTACTCAAACAAATAAACAAACATGTCCTTGTTTATCTGTCTAACTCAAAAATACACATTTGTTCTTTGTTGGTATGATATACCTTTTTCCAATACATTGTGTCATCATTGTTATGTACAAGTAATATTTTTCATAATTGCTAATATCAATAAGTTTTCAACATATATTTCATATGCAAGATTCATTTAGAAGCAAAATACGCCTTTATTGATTTGTGTATCTCTTGGTGCAAATTTGTTCTTTGTAGGCATGATTTTACCTTTTCCCAGTATGTTTTGTCATCACTGTTATGTACGAGTATTGTTTGTCATAATTAGCAACATAATTGTGATCGTCCACTGTCTTTGATATGACCTGGTATCTGTTTCAAAGCAAAAGAAACCTCTCCTGGGTTTTTTTTAATTCTTAAAGTGCGCTTTTATCTCTGGAGGCAAGACTTTTGTCTTTTCCTGTACATTGTGTCATCATTGTTACGTACAAGTCATGTTTGTCATCACTGTTATGTACAAGTCAGCTCCATTGATTTTGTGCTTTTGCCTCATATTAGTTAAAAAATTGTTTTACACATGTGTTTTTCTGGTACTGAGGCTTTGATAACTGTATTTGTACAGCCTTTCACTATTGTGATGTGTTGTCAATGATAATGTCCAATGTGTATCCTTTCTTGTACATAACAATGATGACATGTTCTGTGCACTGCGTCATTGTTACAAAGCTTGCCATTCATATTACCATTATGAATGGAGTTCATAGTGTACAAAGTGTTTGTTTACTAAACAAATGGAATTTAAAGTCTATAATTTGCCTTGCTGCTTATCTGTTTTTGTCATCACTGTTACAAAATACATACAAGAAATACAGTAGTTGCCAAACCAATAGACCCATATCTCCAAAACCCTACATCTCCTTGCTCTGATACTCTAGGAATATGAGCACTAAATGTCAATCTGTGACTGACAGAAAAGAGAGTCAAATTGGTAAGAAAATTTTTTTTGCACCACTGAGTCTCAAGAGAGTCTCACGTTTTGGCAATTGCTCATGTATGAATATTGATAGTGATCTGACTAAAATTCAGTAAACAAGTCCGTATCCAAGTCAACAAAGCTAACAATCTTCTCGCACTGATCCGGAGAGGTTTCACAATGCTGGACAAAGTGTCCCTTTCTACTCTGTACAAAAATCAATCATTCGTCCTTATCTAGAGTATGGAAATGTAGTCTGGCACCCCAGACTTAAAGGATTAAGTGATGAAGAACAACTTGAAAAAGTGCAACGTCAGGCCACCAAACTAATTCCTGAACTACAGCACCTTGCTTACTGCGATCGTCTCAGAAAATTGGATCTGTCATCGCTGTACTATCGGAAAGCTAGAGGCGACATGATTGAATGCTACAAGAAGTATCTAACAGGAATTTACAACGTAACAGGAGACATTTTACCGTGGGATCTACACTAGGGGACACAGCCTAAAATTGAAAAAAAAAACGTGTGAAAACAGCAGTCCGCCAAAACTTCTTCAGTGTACGCACAGTTAACGCTTGGAATTCCCTACCGGAAAATGTGGTGTCTGCACCATCCTTGAAAGCTTTCAAGAATAAGATTGACATGGTCTGGAAGGCACATAAATTCTCCATGAACCTAGATTCTAGATTGGTTTCAAACTGCCAGATCCATGAGCACCAACCTACAGATAACAGAGTGTGAAAACAATGAGCAGGAAGGAACAAGCAATGAAAGCAACGAACGGCTGAAGGCGACTAGCCTGACCACAGCCATACTCATACTTCAAAACTAAACTAAGTATGCAACAAAGAGGACAAAACTCTACCTAGAAAGAAGAATGAGACCAATAAAAAAGTTATTTTTAGTAGGCCTAGAGTCTAGAATAGTCTAGTATCCAGCAGTGTAGAAGTAGATTTCTAGATCTAGAAATCTAGAATCTAGAGTGAGGCAGAGGTCAAATGAAAGCAAAAAGTGGTCGCCAACTTATTTGCTAGAAAACGAAAGTAGGAACGAATGAGACAAATAAACAGCATTATTGCAAATAATTTTTTAAAGTTTATGCTGTTTAGACAACTGCCACTGTTAAAAGATGGAACGATGACTTACACTCAAAAGCCAGTTTCTAAGTCGAGAAAGAAGTGGAGTAACGTCCCTGAAATTCGGCTTCGCAGCCATCTTTAAACAAGTGCGGTACTGCTATGGCTGTGATTCGAGTATGGACCGCATGGAATCGGTGTTAAACAAGTTTGTTTTAACAAAATTTTGTACTTTGAATTTTACATGATCTTAAAGATTTATTTTTTTAAGTATAAAGAAACATGGTACTTTAGTTAATATAAATTGATCAGCATTGTTATTGTGTTCCCTTTTACAAAAACTTGATCCAAGGAAAAAAGATACAGTTCAAACTATAATGTTAGAAATAAATCTTTTTCTTCATACAAAAGCAATGCTCTGTTTTCTCTATTTTGCAAAACAAAAACATAATGTTGTATCAACATGATTCTTTGTGCAAAAAAAATTTTGTAAGGGAAGAGAAGTCAATTTAATTCGGTTCAGAAGAAATGCCTCATGAGGTTGGCTACTCCATAATTTTAATAGATTTTTCTTCCTTTTCTTACTTCCGCTGAAAGCAACCACACGCTTTTAGTCGTGTCTGACAGTAATTTGTGAAAATTCACAAAAGAATCATTTAAAATGGACAAACTTCAACCAGTAAAGCTCGCAAAGGTTTGTATGCATGTGTTGTATGACGGGAGATGCTCATTTGTTTTGATGTTATTGTAACACGTTATGTTTATAATGTCATCGCCCATGCCTTGCTCCTTGCAAGGCTTAGATTTAGTTTAGTTGTTCACAGGAAGACTGTCCACTCGTAGATTGATTAGTGTAGTGACTTTACTTTTTTAACGGTAACCTTTTTAACCTTTTTGGATGCTACAAGGTAAGTCTGGATGTCTACTAAATCTAACTGGTTGAGATTTTAACCATTCGTCACTCAGAACCAGAGCCATTTCCTAGCAATGACAATGGAAAATTAAATTTTCATCCGATTTGCTTAAAAATGGGCTTAAATGAAACTAGAGTAAATTCTAAGAACTGTGGTTTTTAAATTTTAAAAATCCATCGATAAATAAAAAAGTTATTGGGATTTTTGTTTGCAAAATGTTGGAGGACCTTCATATAGGAAAAAATCGCCAAAATGTGGGACATGTTTTGATGTATTTTGAGGAAAAACTGTTCATAAGTCAGTAATGAATTGGAGCATATGAATGAAACTTGGCATCTCCATGTGATTTTTAGTGCCAAATCTAGTTCTGCTATCACTTTTTCGTTGTCTTCATTACTTTGGATCTTAAAGACTGATATTTGCGTGAAATTTGTTGAATTGCGTGACATTGTTTTTACCGCGACGCGATCACCCCTTCTAAAACTCAGTAAAGCGCTATCGGGAAAACCCGCGATGTAGTCATCGGTGACTCATTTGGTTATAGGCAGCCAATCACATGCCGCCTAGCGATCACGCGCCTCTTGCATGCCGGCACTTCGCGTTTGGAATGCGCGATTAAGTTTCTAGATCTAGTGTTTTATCAATGGGTGGGTGGTAATTTTAAGTTGGTACGGAAAATCTACTAAACGCAGAGATCTGAAATTTTACAGCAATAAAGAAGACATGTGGGGCGCTTGTGTGGTCGGCGATCAACCCGCAGCTCCGCTTAGTTTTCGAACCGCAGAGGAAATTCTCACAAACACGGCAATATCTCCGGTTCTAGTAATCGTTCGGGATTGTACGCTGGCATGTCGTTAGTTTAACCTTTCCTCTGGTTGGTTGCCGAGTTTCATTTATTTTCGTCCAGGAGTTTTCCCGTAATTAAACTTAGAAGAGAGTCACTTCTGATTCCGAGCGGCCCAAAAAATACCCCTCGCGCGGAGGCCGATTTCCGGCACAAGGCGCAGCGGGCGATTGGCATTGCTACATTTCCCCAAGACAAATGGTAATCAAATTGAAAATAGGCCACCTCTATTCTCACCCCGAGTCTTTCAACTTTGGTGCTTTTTTGGTAGTTCCCACCCCCCTTATTTGAGCCTGACCTACATCTAGATCTAGATCTATACGTTTGATTCGCGGTGAGCTAAGATATCAAACCTAACAACTGCAAAACATTATACTCTTGTGGCCCAAACCCGTGAATAAAATTGCGGGGTGGGAACTACCGAAAAAAGGCCGAGTCTTTTGGCTATTCTCACCCGGTGTGCGTTCACCGTGTTATTATAGGGTATTTTTTTACTTTCCCTCCCGTCTCACACTCAGCTACCAGTTGTTTATTTTCTTCTAGATCTAAATATTGATGCGCTGAACACGAATATCAACTTCATTTCTGTCGAATATCAACTTCATTTCTGTCGCAAATTAATAGTTTTTGAAATATTTGATTGTTTTTAACCGAGATAGACATGCTTTGGACCAATCGGGGGGTTCCAGGGGGGCATGCCCCCCTGTTTTTACCCATAATTTGATATTTTACAGTTAGATTTGAAATTGTCTAGAAAATTTAAAAAATTATCCGTATCGGTTTCGCACGGTAAAATTACACACTTGGACATAATTGAAGGTCGCTTAGATCGTTGATGCTCAGTACAGTAAGAACTCTGATGCTTGAAATTGAAACACGGTAAACGCAAAGACTGTAAAGTGGCGAAAATTACCGTAAAGACGTCAGCAGGTCGCCCCCCGGGCCCGATAAACAATGCGCAGAAGATATATAAGCAGCAGCAGCATCAGAGCACCGCATCATATCACTTAACCGGTATTCCTGGAAAATGGTCGTGCCATCAAAGATCTTGTAGTGGGGAACCTTTGGTGCCATGCGGTTGGCTGTATTTAGATTGGTCACATTATGGGAGGGGTGTCCCACAGTCCGGCGTCGTGGGTGGTTGGCGGGTGCTCTGGTGTGGTTTGCTCCTTCTGTCCTATCACGCATCTATCGTCGTTATCTTTCCTTCTATTTTGTGTTTGTTACTCTCTTGTAACACCTCTAATCTTCAGCACTTACATGCACATTTTGTGTTGCAAGTGCCGTGAAACTCTTACTAAAACTAAAGTCTGACGTCACACAAGATGACGGCCTTCCCTAAAAATAGTTTGCCTCATTCTACGTTTGGTTGCATGTGTTTGGCGCTTACCGGGACAAAATCACTGAGCAAACTATACGAGAGTTAGGATTGGGGTTAGGTTTAGGTGTGCCCTCTGTGGAACTCCATTCCATTTTCTGTCTAGGCCTAGCGTAGTATAGCTTTGCCCTTTGTTTTGAACCAAAAATAAGGCTATCTTGTCAAATGCACATTGACAAATCAAAAATGGCAGTATCTTTAATCTTCTATTCATAATGTTTTACAAAAGCATGAATAAGTTATAAGATCTGATCTCCTCTCATAATTTGATATAAGTCAAAACGAGTATTTACACCCATTCCGGGGTTCGAAAGGAAATAGTATAGGTCGATTTCTGATTGGTTTGCACTCAAATTGTTCTTTTTACCAGCACAATGGTATTAACTATATCTATAGACTTATTTTATCAGGTAATATAATTTTGCATAAATTCAAGCTCATTTGAAGGATGTTGTACAGTAAAATGGAAGTCTTGTTTCCTGGCTATCCTTTCGAGCTGTTCATGTCTAAGTGGGTCAATTTCTTCTCTAATTTCATTTGACGAACACATAGAGCTACCAACTTCCAACTTGGCGAGTTTTGAGTGAGACGTAGGCTAGCCTACGCTTCTGTGTAGTACCAACACAGACGATTCTAGAAGTAGACCGCAAAGGCCCACAAACTCAACCAGAAATACGCTTATACTTATATACCAGGGAACATAAATCGGGGGTTAGGGAGACGAGAGACATACACACGGACAGAGGGGCGTGCGTAAGCAGAAGTTCACAAACGCAGAACACTGAGCACACATAGGCTAGATCTACTCACCAACACAAAAAAGCTCCAATTTACTCGATGGCAATTGACGCTGGCATCAATTTTCACCGCGTCACTCGGTGGCAATTAACACTACCTTTACACAAATATTGGCTTTAGGCAAATTATTAGTTTTGAAATATTTGACACGGTTCTTACCATCTATAGAGGATAATGCTAAAAGCCTGAATGAAGATTACATAGTAATTTTCACGCTCGGGTGGGGGGGGGGGGGGGGGGGGGGGGTGTTACAGGTAAATAAAAAAAAGGTAGGCTATTTGGGGGAGGGGTGTCGTAATTTGATTTTTTCCATTTAGATTGGGAAAAATTTTTCTAAATAATTGACTTGCGACAGTTCTTTTCATTCATATATGTGATCTGCAGTCAAAAATAAGGTCCTTTGAGCCTCACCATGAAATCTGCCGATTATATCTTTTTTGTGGAATTCTTTTCTCTGAATCTGTTATTTTTACTATTGTTGAGGTCTGAAATGTGTGTTTGGTTTTGTTCACAGGTCACCAAAGTCCTCGGCCGCACAGGAAGTCAGGGCCAGGCTACACAGGTCAGAACTCTCATTCTGTACTATACTAATCAGCTTAAAGTGTATTGAATCTGTAACAACGACCATACCTTCATTTACTGCTGATGAGACCTTCAACCTTTCAAAGGGGCGATTTAGAGTCAAACCCCGTTATACTACTTACTTTGGTACGAGCGTGAACTTAGCGGTACAACGAGGTCTTCATATCATTTGTTCAGTACATGTAGCACCAAATGCCCAATGTCGGGGGAACTTGTTTACCGGTCACTTGATGAATTAATGAATGAGTTATCTCCCTTCAATCTGTGGCTTAGACTTAAGCGTGAGTCCTCACTAAATAAAAGCCCTATAGGCATTCGCCAGCCTGTACGTTATACGGCTGATATCTGGCGCCACAGGATATTTTGTCCGGGGGTTCCAGGTAATTAAACTGTTCTGCATTACACATTGTATTGTGTTCACTTGCCACACACTACTTCGGTGGGCAGTTGGCGGGTGCTCTAGTGTGGTTTGTTCCTTCTTTCCTATGAAACATCTATCGTCCTGATCTCCCATCCTTTTTTGTGTTTGTTACTCTCTTGTAACACCTCTGATCTTCGGCACTTTTATTATCTTATTGTGTAGCAAGTGCCGTAAAACTCTTGACTAAAAGTTTTAAAAAGCATGCATTACATCACTGTAGGTCTATCTGCTTCTCTCTGTTG